CCCTCAAGCTATAGGCCCCTCCCCTCTCAAGTTATGGACCCCCCCTCAAACTATGGGGGTAAAATCTGGGATTTTGGGGGACTATTGGGGGAAAAATTTGTGATTTTGGGGCTGGGAGATTTGGCAGGGGGAGTTATGAGGATTATGGGGGGGGGTTATGAGGATTTTAGGGGGGGCTCTGAGGATTTTGAGGGGGGGCTCTGAGGATTTTAGGGGGGTTATGAGGATTTTGGGGGGGGGAGGTTATGAGGATTTTTGGGGGGGACTCTGAGGATTTGGGGGGACTCTGAGGATTTTGAGGGGGGGGTTATGAGGATTTTGAGGGGGGGGCTCTGAGGATTTTTGGGGGCAGTTATGAGGATTTTGGTGGGGGGGCTCTGAGGATTTGGGGGCAGTTATGAGGATTTTGGTGGGGGGGCTCTGAGGATTTGGGGGTGTTATGAGGATTTTGAGGGGGGCTCTGAGGATTCTGGAGGGGGGGGTTATGATGATTTTGGGGGAGGTTATGTGGATTTTGGGGGAATTTGGGGGGGGACCTGAGGATTTTTGGGGGGGTTCCAAGACATTTTTGAGCATGGATTTGGGGTCTCCAAAGTGCGAAAACGGTGAAATTTCACCACCTCAACCCCCCGGATATCCCAGCAAGCAGCTCCAGGAATGTTCTGGAATTTTGGGGGGGGGTTGGGTTCAGGGGGGGGTGTCTGAGCTCTGTCCCCCCCCCCCCCCCCCCCCCCCCACAGGTGCAGACCCACCTGGAGAACCCCACCCGGTACCACCTGCGGGCGGCGCAGCGGCAGCAGCTGCGCCAGTACCTGAGCCACGCCCACCGGGGGGGCGGGGCCGGCAGCCCCCGCAGCCCCTCCCCCCCCCGGGCCCGGGCCCTCCCCCACCCAGGGCCCCCCCCGAGCCCCCCTGAGCCCCCCCCAGGCGCTGCTGCACCACGAGAAGGAGGTGAGGGAGGGGGATGACGTCATGGGGGTGGGGCGGTGATGTCATAACGGGGGTTGGTGATGTCATAAAGTGGGGGGGGAGGCATTGCGTTGTCATAGTGAGAGTTTATGATGTCATGAGGAGGACGATGAGGTGATAAGAGGAGTGGGAATTTGATAAGAGAAGGTGATGACATCATAGGGTGAGATGCTGACGTCATAAGTGGGTGATAGGTAGGCGGTGATGTCATAAAGTGGGTTTGGTGATGTCATAGAGGGAGTCGATGATGTCATAGGGAGGATGATGAGGTGATAAGGGGAGGGGATGATGTCATAGGGTGAGATGGTGACGTCATAATGGGGTGATAAGTAGGGGGTGATGATGTCGTGAAAGGGGTCAGTGATGTCACAAATGGGGCTGTGATGTCATAAAGAGGCTCCTGGTGTGATAAGGGGAGGGGATGATGTCATAGGGTGAGGTGGTGATGTCATAACGGGTGATAAGGGGCCGATGACATCATAAATGCTGTTTGTGATGTCATAACTGCGTCTCTGATGTCATAAAGAGGAGCCTGGTGTCATAAGGGGGGGGTGGGGACCAGATAAGGGGAGGCGATGATGTCATTGAGCAAGATGGTGACATCATAAGGGGGAATGATGACATCATAAACGGAGTTCCTGACATCACAAAGGGGGCTGTGATGTCACCAGTGGGTCTGTGACGTCATAAAGAGGATCCTGAAGTGATAAGGGGGGGGGGTGGGGATATGATCAGGGGTTGATGATGTCATAAAGAAGATTTGTGACGTCACAGAGGAGCTCTGTGACGTCATCACGAGGTTCCAGGACGTGATAAGGCGATGCGGGAACAAGATAAGAGCGGGCGGTGACGTCACCCAATGGGGCGGTGACGTCACACAGGAAGTGGTGGCATCAGATGGGGAGGGAGGGGGCGGGGCTTGATGACGTCACGGCGCCGGCGCCTCTGTCCTCCACAGATCGATGACGTCATCGATGAGATCATCAGCCTGGAGTCGAGCTACGAGGACCTGCTGGGCCTGGAGGGGCCCCTCCCCCTGCCCAGCACGGTAATGAGGGGGCGGGGCCTGGGCAGACCCCGCCCACCCACCGGGGCACCGTGGGGGGTGTGGCATTTCCATATAAGGCAGGGCTTGTGGCTCATTACCATATTTTGGCACAGCTTTGTCCATATAAGGCAGTGTGGGTGTGGCTTTGGCCATATAATGCACTGTGGGCGTGGCCTATTGCCATATTCGGGCACTGGGTGGGGTTTGTTGCCATATAAGGCTTTGGGGGTGTGGTTTTTCCATATAAGGCAGGGCCCTGATTCATTATAAGGATCAGTGGGTGTGGCTTTCCCATATATGGCCATGGGGGTGTGGCTTGTTGCCTTATAAAGAATTTAGGGTGTGGTTTTCCCATATAAGGCAATTTGCTGATTCTACATAAGGGCATGGGTGTGGTTTGTTGCCATATAAAGGCATTGGGTGTGGCCTGTTACCATATAAGGGTGTGGGGGCGTGGCTTTTCCATATAAGGCATATACGGATATGGGGGGTGTGGTTTGTTGCCATATAAGGGCATGGGGGTGTGGCCTGGTACCATAAAATTGTGTGGGGGGCGTGGTTATCCATATAAGGCAATTTGCAGATTCCATATAAGGGCATGGGTGTGGCTTGTTTCCTTATAAAGACTTGGGGGTGTGGCTATCCCATATAAGGAAATTTGCATGTTCCATATAAGGGCACTGGTGTGGCTTGTTGCCTTATAAGGAGCTGGGGGTGTGGCTTCTCCATATAAGGCAAGGATGTGGTTTTGTTGCCATATAAGGACACAAGGAAGGGGTGTGGCCTGAAAGGGGTGTGGCCCGAAGGCGGCGTGGTCTGTACCTGCCTGCCAAGTGGGCGTGGCTTGCATACAAATGGGCGCGGCCTTGCCCAATCACCCCTGATGGGTTTCTGGCGTGGTGGGCGTGGTCAGGGCGGGCGTGGCCGCTCTGACCCCGCCCCCTCGGGCAGGTCCCCGCCCCCGGGCCCCTCCTGGAGGTTTTCAGCCCCGCCCAGGGCGGGAGCAGCTCCTGCCCGGCCGAGCTGCCCCGGGTCAAGGCCGAGCTCTCAGGTCTGGGGGGTCCTGGGGGGCTCTGGGGGGTGGGGAGGGATCTTTGGGGGGGCTCAGAGGGGTTTGGGGGGTCCCCATGGTGGGGAGGGGTCTTTGGGGGGGGCTCAGAGGGGTTTTGGGGGGGTCTCCATGTTGGGGAGGGGTCCCAAAGGGCATAAAAGAGAGGGGAGGGGTCCCTGGGGGGGTTCATAGGGGTTTGGGGGGGGTCCCCATGGTGGGGAGGGGTCCCAAAGGGCATAAAAGTGAGGGGAGGGGTCCCTGGGGGGTTTTGGGGGTCCCTGGGGGGTGAGGAGGGGTCCCTGAGGGGTTTTTGGGGGTCCCTGAGGGGTGGGGAGGGGTCCCTGGGGGGTTTTGGGGGTCCCTGGGGGGTGAGGAGGGGCATTAAGGGTCATTGGTTTGGGGGGTGGTCCTTGAGGGGGTAAAAGGGCTTTTGGGGGGGGTCCCATGGTGGGGAGGGGTCCTTGGGGGGTCTCTAAGGGGATAAAAGCAGGGGAGGGGTCTCTGGAGGGTTTTTTGGGGGGGGTCCCATGGTGGGGAGGGGTCTCTGGGACATTAAAAGGGGTTGGGCTCCCCCCATGGTGGCCTCTGGGTCGACCTGGGGCCGAATTTGGGGTTTTTTGGGGGGAAGGGCTTCGCTGTGGGGTGTGGGGGGTCCCATAATTTGAGGGGGGGTCTCCATAATTTGAGGGGGGGTCTCTGAGTGTGCCCCTTCTCCATTCCCCCCCCCAGAATCGGAGGCCAAGGCACTGCTGAAGGAGAGGCAGAAAAAGGACAACCACAACCTCAGTGAGCTGGGGAGGGATTTTGGGGGGTTTTGGGGGTGTCCTGGGAAGGTACTGAGGAGTTTTGGGGGGGTCCTGGTTTTGTCTTGGGGGGATTTGGGGGGTCCTGAAAAGCTCCTGGGGGGATCTGGGGGGGGTCCTGGGGAGGTACTGAGGGGTTTTGGGGGGTCCTGAGAGGGACTGGGGGGGGGAAGGGGGAAGGTTGGGGGGTCCTGGGGGGTTTTAGGGGTTCTTGGGGGGTCCTGGGGATGTCCTGAAGGATCCTGGGGGGGTTTTGGGGGGTCCTGGGTGTGTTCCAGGGGGTCCAGGGGGTCTTGGGGGGGGGGTCCCAGTGGCTTTTGGGGGTCCCTTGGGGCTGGGGCGGGGGGTTCAGGTGAGTCCCTGGGGGTCTTGGGGGGGTCCCTGTGAGGTTTTTGGGGGTCCTGGGGAGTCCTGAGGGTCTTGGAGGTCCACAGGGGCTTGGGGAGGGGTCCTGGGGGGGGGTCCCTGTGAGGTTTTTGGGGGTCCTGGGGGGTTTCTGGGTGTCCCCAGGGGATGTGGGATGGGTTTTTTGGGGGGGGTCTCACTTGTGTGTCCCCCCCAGTCGAGCGGCGCCGGCGCTTCAACATCAACGACCGGATCAAAGAATTGGGGACCCTGATCCCCAAAAACAGCGACCCGTGAGTGAGGGAGGGGCTGGGCAGGTCCTGGAAGGGAAAATTGGGCAGCCAGGGACCCCCAGGGTGGGGCCTAGAAGGGAAATTTTGCAGTCAGGGGTGGTCCCAGGGGTATTTTGGGGGTGGTCCCAGGGGTATTTTGGGGGTGGTTCCAGGGGGATTTTTGGGGGTGGTTCCAGAGGGATTTTTGGGGGTGGTCCCAGGGGGATTTTGGGGCTGGTCCCAGGGGGGTTTTTGGGGGTGGTTCCAGGGGTATTTTGGGGTGGTTCCAGGGGTATTTTGGGGGTGGTCCTAGGGGGATTTTTGGGGTGGTCCCAGGGGGGTTTTTGGGGGTGGTTCCAGGGGTATTTTGGGGTGGTCCCAGGGGTATTTTGGGGGTGGTCCTGGTGATCCCAGGGATGTTTCAGGGCTGATCCTGGGGTGATCCTGGTGGTCCCAGGGGGATTTTGGGGGTGGTTCCAGGGGTATTTTGGGGGTGGTTCCAGGGGGATTTTGGGGGTGGTCCCAGGGGTATTTTCGGGGTGGTTCCAGGGGGATTTTTGGGGGTGGTTCCAGGGGGATTTTTGGGGTGGTCCCAGGGGTATTTTTAGGGTGGTCCTGGTGATCCCAGGGATGTTTCAGGGGTGATCCTGGTGGTTCCAGGGGTATTTGGGGGTGGTCCCAGGGGTATTTTGGGGGTGGTTCCAGGGGTGTTTTGGGGGTGGTCCCAGGGGGATTTTGGTGGTTGTCCCAGGGGTATTTTTGGGGTGGTTCCAGGGGTATTTTTGGGGTGGTCCTGGTGTTCCTGGGGGTGGTCCCAGGCTGACCCCAGGCCCACCCCGGCAGGGAGATGCGCTGGAACAAGGGCACGATCCTGAAGGCCTCGGTCGATTACATCCGCAAGCTGCAGAAGGAGACGCAGCGAGCGCGGGAGCTGGAGCTGCAGCAGCAGCGCCTGGAGCAGCAGAACCGCAGCCTGCAGCTCCGGGTGCAGGTGTGGGAATGTGGGAATGGGATTGGGAATGTGGGAATGGGAATGGGAGCAGCAGAACCGCAGCCTGCAGCTCCGGGTGCAGGTGTGGGAATGTGGGAATGGGATTGGGATTGGGGGAATGGGATTGGGAATGGCTTCAGGAGCAGCAGAACCGCAGCCTGCAGCTCCGGGTGCAGGTGTGGGAATGGGATTGGGATTGGGAATATGGGAATGGGATTGGGAATGGGATCAGGAGCAGCAGAACCGCAGCCTGCAGCTCTGGGTGCAGGTGTGGGAATGTGGGAATGGGATTGGGATTGGGGGAATGGGATTGGGATTGTGGGAATGGGATTGGGAATGGAATCAGGAGCAGCAGAACCGCAGCCTGCAGCTCCGGGTGCAGGTGTGGGAATGGGAATATGGGAATGGGATTGGAATTGTGGGAATGGGATCAGGAGCTGCAGAACCGCAGCCTGCAGCTCCGGGTGCAGGTGTGGGAATGTGGGAATGGGATTGGGAATGTGGGAATGGGATTGGGAATGGCTTCAGGAGCAGCAGAACCGCAGCCTGCAGCTCCGGGTGCAGGTGTGGGAATGTGGGAATGGGGTTGGGAATATGGGATTGGGATCACAAATGTGGGATTGGGATTGTGGGAATGGGATCAAGAGCAGCAGAACCGCAGCCTGCAGCTCTGGGTGCAGGTACGGGATTGGGATTGTGGGAATGGGATTGGGATTGTGGGAATGGGATTGGGAATGGGTTCAGGAGCAGCAGAACCGCAGCCTGCAGCTCCGGGTGCAGGTATGGGAATGTGGGATTGGGATTGGGAATGGGTTCAGGAGCAGCAGAACTGCAGCCTGCAGCTCCGGGTGCAGGTGTGGGAATGGGAATATGGGAATGGGATTGGAATTGTGGGAATGGGAATGGGAGCAGCAGAACCGCAGCCTGCAGCTCCGGGTGCAGGTACGGGATTGGGATTGTGGGAATGGGATTGGGATTGTGGGAATGGGATTGGGAATGGGATCAGGAGCAGCAGAACTGCAGCCTGCAGCTCTGGGTGCAGGTACGGGATTGGGATTGTGGGAATGGGATTGGGATTGTGGGAATGGGAATATGGGATTGGAAATATAAGATTGGGGTTGGGAATGGGAGCAGCAGAACTGCAGCCTGCAGCTCAGGGTGCAGGTGTGGAATGGGATTGGGATTGTGGGATTGGGATTGGGGTCAGGAATATGGGGATGGGAATGTCAGATTGGGAATGGCAATGGGGGATTGGGAATGTGGGATTGGGGTTGGGAATGGGATCAGGTACGGGATCAGGATTGGGAACATGGGATAAGAAATTGCGGGATTGGGATCAGAAACACGGAATGGGAATGTGGGAATGGGATGGGTTTTGGGGTCGGTTTTGGGGTGGGGGGAGTTTGGGATGGTCTGGAGGGGAATCCAGGGAATGTCTGCATCAGGATATTTGGGATAATTGAGTCACCGAACCCCCAATTCCACCTGCAGGAACTGGAGCTCCAGGCCCAAATCCACGGGCTCCCCCTGACCCCCGCCATGGCCGAGGGCGGCTGCGAGGAGCCCTCGGGAGGGGGTCCCCCCTTTCCCCCCTCCACCCCCCAGTGCCTGCTGGAGCTGCCCCCGGGGCTGGCGCTGCCCCTGGCGCTGGGGGGCCCCGAGGGGACCCTCGAGGACATCCTGATGGACGATGGGGGGGCGCTGTCCCCGCTCGGCCCCCCCGGCGCCCTCCTGGCCTCACCGGGCCCCTCAAGAGCCTCCAGCCCCCGCAGCAGCCTCAGCATGGAGGACGAGCCCTGAGAAGAGCCCGGCCCTGGGGGGGATTTTTAGGGACCCCTCCCCATCTTTTCGGGACCCCCTGCCCTCCCTGAGGTGTTCTGGGTGGGCCCCACCGGGCGCCGTTTGAAGAGTCTTAAAGCGGGCGGGTGCTTTCTAGTGGAGGCCCCGCCCCCTGAAGGGGTGTTGCCCTTTTAAGGCACCCCGTGTGGGACCCCCTCTCTTAAAGGGGCTCGGCCGGGTGTGGCTCGTTGGAAGGGAGGGGGCTGCCCCCTGTATGTGTGGCCCCTTTAAGGCGCTGGCGTCGGGCCCCACCTGGGCGTGGCCCTTTGAAGGTGCCGCAAAAAGCCCCGCCCTTCCGTGAGGCCACGCCCACTTCCCGGATCACCCAATCAGAGGGCTCCCGGGGGCTGGGCCCTCGCACGGTGTGTGTGCGTGGATGTGCGGACCAATCGTGACACAAAGTAGTCCCACTCAGAGCTAAGAGTGTGGAAGGCGAAAACGCGGAGGCACATTTGGGATGGGTTGTGTGGAGGGGACTCGCGGTGATGCGGCCGTGCCGGGTCCTCAAGCTCCGGCAGAAGGAGAGACGCGGAAGGATACACGCAAGGCGCTGCAGTTTTCACCTCCTGTGGTGCCGTGCACAGCCCCGGTGGCGGCGGAAGCGGCGTGCCCGGGCACAGGGATGCCGGCTGTGGCCGGACAGCGGCACGCAGCGGCTCGGAACCGGGACCGAGCTCTACCAAAGCTGCAGCCAAAGCAGTGGGGGGGTGGTGGCGGGGCCGTGGAGAGAGAGAACTGCGCATGCGTGCGGCTGATCCCGGAAGCGGCGCTGTGCTTGCATGGGTCGGCGCGGAGGGATATCGCTCGTGGGGGGGGTGTAGCAACTGCGCATGCGCGGGCAGCCATCTTGGTGGACGGGCGCGGGAGGCGGCGGGGCTGCGGCTGTGGAAGGGAACGCCGGGACGTCCGTGGCTTCAGGAGGCGGCGGAGCCGCGCCATCCAGCAGCTCTGAAGTGGGACGCTGCAGGGAGGAACGGACGGCTCGGCCCGCCATGGAACGGCGGCGGCAGGAGCGGAAAACCGACCGCGGGAGGCGGCGGGGCGGCCCCGTCAGCGGGAGATGATCCCGGGGGGCTGGCGGGAGGCGGGAGGAGCGGCGTGGAGGCGGCGGGAGCTGCCGCGGAGGGGGCATGGCGAGCTATGGTGGGCTGGGCGGGCGGCTGGAGCGCGGCGCGCGGCCGCTGGGGGCTGGGGTGGCCGCTGGCCCGGCGGGCAGGGGCGGCGCTGCCGGGAGGTTGCGCTGGAGCGGCGGCAGGCAGGGGAGGCTGAGCAGGAGCGGCGGCAGGCACGGGAGGCTGAGCAGGAGCGGCGGCAGGCACGGGAGGCTGAGCAGGAGCGGCGGCAGGCACGGGAGGCTGGGCTGGAGCGGCGGCAGGCACGGGAGGCTCAGCAGGAGCGGCGGCAGGCACGGGAGGCTGAGCAGGAGCGGCGGCAGGCACGGGAGGCTGAGCAGGAGCGGCGCCAGGCACAGCAGAGGCTGCAGACGCCGCGGCGCCGGCACGGGGGGGCTCGGCGGGCTGGGGCGCCCCGGTCCCAGCGCAAGCCGTGCCGGGACCGGGGGACTGAACCGAAACGCCGGCAGGGACGGGAATAAACATGGGGTCCGCGGGCAGCTCGGGGTGCGCTGCAGGGCGGGGCGGGGCGGGCTTCCCGCGGCAACGCGCACAGGGGGCGCTGGGGACGCAGCGCGGCCGCGCCAGGCGCGCTCGGCACCGCAGAGCCGGGAGCCGCAGGGAACGGCAGAGACGCAGCAGCGGCGGGACCGGGGGCAGCACCGGCCCCGCTGTGTCGGCAAAGGGGGGCGAGCGGGACTTGGGGGGCGGCTGCACTCGCGGGTAGAGGGGGAAAGCGGCGGGGGGCAGAAAGGGGCGAGGCCGCGGTGACGCCGGTGGGCGGGCTCATAGAGGCGGAATTGAGGGGCGGGGACCGCGGTAGCCGGGACCAACGGGAAGGCAAAGGCGGGGATGGCGGGAGGGGCCGGTGGGGTGGCTGGGGCCGGGGGGGACCGGGGGTCGGGACCGCGAGGGCGGGGGCGGGGTGAGCAGGACCGCGGGTACCGGAGCTGCGAGGGGCGTGTCCCGTTGCAGGCCCATAGCGGCTCAAAGGGGCGGACTCGCAGCACGGGCGGAGCTCGGCGGGGCGGCTGCTGAGGGCATCCCCGAGCAGCAAACGGCTCAAGCAGTGCCCGGCAAGCTGGAGGCAGCTCTGCTCCGCGGCGGCCATGTCTCGGCGGGAGATACCAATAAAGTGCTTAACTCAAACTGTGTCCTAAAAGTGTCTGGGAAACACGGCTGAACGGTCAGCACTGGGGGAACTCATTAAAGTCCATTCTAAACGGTTTATTAAGAACCATTTCCATAACTGGCTTGGTAAGGACCTTAAAGAAGGCTTTAGTTGCTTATAGAGATCTCTGTCGTAGGCACGTGAGTTTGTCCTATTTTTGGACCAGTGTGTCAAAAACGTCGATGGTGGAGAAGCAAAGTCCTCAATCAGAGCATTACAGCACTTTTTTTACGACAGTCGCGCTTTACGGCAATTTTACGACAGTCGCACTTTTACGACAGTTTTGCTTTACGGCAGTTTTACGACAGTCGCACTTTACGGCACCTTTTACGACAGTCGCACTTTACGGCAGCTTTACGACAGTTTTGCTTTACGGCACCTTTTACGACAGTTTTGCTTTACGGCAGTTTTACGACAGTCGCACTTTACGGCAATTTTACGACAGTCGCGCTTTACGGCAGTTTTCCGACAGTTTTGCTTTACGGCACCTTTTACGACAGTTTTGCTTTACGGCACCTTTTACGACAGTCGCACTTTACGACACCTTTTACGACAGTCGCACTTTACGGCAATTTTGCGACAGTCGCGCTTTACGGCAATTTTGCGACAGTCGCGCTTTACGGCAATTTTACGACAGTCGCGCTTTACGACACCTTTTACGACAGTCGCACTTTACGACACCTTTTACGACAGTCGCACTTTACGGCAGTTTTACGACAGTCGCGCTTTACGGCAGTTTTACGACAGTTTTGCTTTACGGCACCTTTTACGACAGTCGCACTTTACGGCAATTTTGCGACAGTTTCGCTTTACGGCACCTTTTACGACAGTCGCGCTTTACGGCAGTTTTACGACAGTTTCGCTTTACGGCACCTTTTACGACAGTCGCACTTTACGGCAGTTTTACGACAGTTTCGCTTTACGGCACCTTTTACGACAGTTTCGCTTTACGGCACCTTTTACGACAGTCGCGCTTTACGGCAGTTTTACGACAGTTTCGCTTTACGGCACCTTTTACGACAGTCGCACTTTACGGCAGTTTTACGACAGTTTCGCTTTACGGCACCTTTTACGACAGTTTCGCTTTACGGCACCTTTTACGACAGTCGCGCTTTACGGCAGTTTTACGACAGTTTCGCTTTACGGCACCTTTTACGACAGTTTTGCTTTACGGCACCTTTGACGGCAATTTTGCGACAGTTTTGCTTTACGGCACCTTTTACGACAGTCGCTTTTTAGTGCCTATTTTTTACGGCAGTTTTACGGCCGATTCTACGGCTGTCGCTCTTTACGGCCTTGAGTGAAGCCCCGCCCCCCGATTCTACGGCTGTCGTTCTTTACTGCCTTGAGTGAAGCCCCGCCCCTTTTCCTGTCACTCACATTTACTCCCTGGCTAGTAACGCACTCAGACCACGCCCGCTTTTAGAGGCCACGCCCACTCCGCCCCATTTAAAAGGCCACACCCGCATTTCCAAACCCTCCCTTTCCCCCAATTTTGTACTGGACCCTCAGGTGTGAAATCAAAGTTTGGCAACAACGGCGGCCCCGAGCCCCCACCCTGCCCCCATCCTGTCCCTGTGTCCTTCCCCCTGTCCCCACGGTGTCTCCATGCCCCGCCCATGTGTCCTTTATTGTGTCCTCATCCTGCCCCCATGTCCCTCTGTCCCCACCCCTGTCCCTTTGTCCCAGGCCCCCATTCCTGTCCCCCTGTCCCCATTCCATACCCCACGTCCCCACGTCCCTCTGTCCCCCTGTCCCCACCCCTGGTGTCACCAACCCCCCTCCCCAAATCTCCACATTTTTCCCCTCCCCCTCCCCCTGAACCCCCCTTAAATCCAGCCAGGACCCCCGGGGTGGGGGAGGGGCTTTGTCCTTTATTGTCCCCGCCGGGTGGGGGAGGGGACAGAGCCTTCAGTGTCACACGGTGGGGGGAGGGACTCTGTCCTTTATTTTCCCACGATACAAACTCGGGGTCCCCTCCCCCCCTCCCTCCCCTCCCCCCCTCGTTGTCCATCCACGGCCCAGGGGGGGAGGGGCCCCCCAGGCTCCGGCCGAGGCTCCGGAGCTGAGGATGAGAAGGAGATCAGTGGGGGAGGGGCGGGGGGAGACCCCTCCCCCCACCCCAACAATGGGGGACGGGCAAAGCCGGGACCCCCAAATCCCTCCCCGAAATGGGGAAATCCAAAAAAATTTCCCCCAAAATTCCCCTCCCCCCCACAAACTCATTTGGGAGCATCCTGGGACCCCCAAATGGGGCTTGGGAAGGGTCAGGACCCCCAAAGAAATTTTGGGGGAGGGGTTCAAAGATCACCCCAAAATTGGGAATTCTGCCATCCACAGAAAACCCAAAAAAAAATCCAAAATTTCTGAGAAAGTCTCTCCAAAATGGGAATTTTGGGGCTTAGAGAACCCCCAAACCCTTGAATATCAGTTGGGGCAACCCCAAAATTATTGGGGAAACCCAAAACTTCCTTAAAATTGATTTGGGGGTGGGGTCTAAAATCCCCCAAAATCCTTTTGGGGGAGCTCAGGGAATTGTGCAAAGCCCAACAACGTTTTGGGGGTGGGCCCAGGGGGGTCTCTGGACATTTTTGGGGTCCCTCCAGTCAATTTTGGGGTACCCCAGGTCACATTTGGGGTGACCCTGGTCAGTTCTGGGTGGCCCTCAGTCACTTTCGGGGTGTCCCTGGTCATTTTTGGGGTGTCCTGGTGAATTCTGGGGTGCCCCTGACACTTTTGGGGTGTCCCCATTAATTTTGGGGTGTCCCTTGTCCGTCTTGGGATGTCTTGAGTCACTTTTGGGGTCTCCCTGGTCGGTTCTGGGGTACCCCAGATCAGTTTTGGGGTCCCCCATGATTTTTGGGTCTCTCAATAATTTTTAGGGGTGCCCCAGTAAGTTCTGGGGTGCCCCCAGATTTAGGGGTGCCCCCAGATTTAGGGGTTCCCCCAAGTCAGTTCTGGGGTGCCCCCCGGTTTTGGGGTCCCCCCTGTTAAGGATGGCCCCAGGTTTAGGGGCACCCCCCAGGTTGGGGTCCCCCAGTTTTGGGGTCCCCCCCAGTTAGGGGGTGCCCTAGATAACTTCTGAGGTGCCCCCCAGGTTTGGGGTTTTGGGGTTCCCCCAGTTTTGGGGTCCCCCCCAGCTTTTGGGGTACCCCTGATTTGGGGTCTCCCCAGCTTTTGGGGTGCCCTGGATCAGTTCTGGGGTGCTCCCCAGGATTGAGGGGTACCCCCAGATTTCGGGGTCCCCCGGTTTTGGGGTCCCTACCTCAGTTGTCGTAGTTGTCCCGGTACGAGGCCGACGGGAAGCGCTCGCCATAACCCCCCTGCCTGGGGGGGGGGAGGGGGGGTCAGCACCTGGGGGGGACCCCAAAACCCAGGACCCCCCCATAAAACCCCTGGGTGCCCCCACAAAACCCAGGGCTGCCCCCCAAAACTCCTGAGTGCGCCCCAAAACCCAGGACCCCTCTCTAAACCCCTGGGTGCCCCCCAAATACCAGGACCCCCCCCAAAACCCTTGGGTGCACCCCAAAGCCCAGGACCCCCCCAAAACCCCTGGGTGCACCCTCAAAACCCCCAGGTGCACCCCAAAACCCAGGATCCCTCCCTAAACCCAGGGGTGCCCCCCAAAAAACCCAGGACCCCCAAAACCCAGGACCCCCCCAAAACCTCTGGGTGCACCCCGAAACCCAGGACCCCCCACCAAAACCCAGGACCCCCCTAAATCCCTGGGTGCACCCCAAAACCCCTGGGTGCACCCCAAAACCCAGGACCCCCCCAAAACCCAGGACTCCCCCCAAAACCCCTGGGTGCACCCCAAAACCCAGGACCCCTCCTCAAATCCCTGGGTGCACCCCAAAGCCCAGGACCCCCCCAAAACCTCTGGGTGCACCCCAAATCCCAGGACCCCCCACCAAAACCCAGGACCCCCCAAAACCCCTGGGTGCCCCCCAAAACCCAGGACCCCTCCTCAAATCCCTGGGTGCACCCCCAAAACCTAGGACCCCCCCCAAAACCCCTGGGTGCCCCCCAAAACCCAGGATCCCTCCTCAAAACCCAGGGGTGCACCCCAAAACCAGGGGACACCCCAAACCCAAAAACGCCCCCCCAGGTTTTTGCAGCCGTTCCTGAACCCCCAAAAGACCCCCCCAGAAATCCCCCCCAAAGGGATCCCCCAAAAATCCCCAGAAACCCCAAAACCCCCCAGGACTCCCAAACCCCCCCCAGGACCCCCCCAAAAATTCCCAGAAACCCCAAAACCCCCCAGGACCCCCTAAAGTCCCCCCCGGGTTCCCCTCCTGAACCCCCAAATCTCCCCCTGGGCACCCCCAAATCTCCCCCTGCACCCCTAAACTCCTCCCCAGGACCCCCAAGATGCCCCCCCAGGACCACCAAACCCTTGCCCAAGACCCCTGGAATCTCTCAAAGACCCCCAGGGTACCCCCAAAAAAAACCCCAAACCCCTCTCCAGCCCCCCCAAATTGCCCCTAAACCCCCCAAAATCGCTCCTGAACCCCCCAAATTGCTTCCAGCCCCCCTAAACCCCTCCCCAAATCCCCCCCAAACCCCTCCCCAGTCCCCCCAAATCCCTCCCTAACCCCCAAATCACTCCTAGGCCCCTAAACCTCTCTCTAACCCCCTAAATCCCCCCCAAATCCCTCCTCAGCTCCCCCCAAAATCGCCCCAGACCCTTCAAACCCCTCCCTAAATTCTCCAAAACCCCTCCCCAAACCCCCAAACCCCTCCCTAACCCCCCCCAAATTCCCCAAATTCCCTCCCCAAACCCCCCAAACTCCTCCCCAGCCCCCCCAAATCCCCTCCCCAAACCCCTCAAATCCCTCCCTAACGCCCCCAAATTCTCTCTCCAAACCCCCCAAACCCCTCCCCAAACCCCCCCAAATTCACCAAATCCCTCCCTAACTCCCCCCAAATTCTCCAAAATCCCTCCCCAAACCCCCAAATTCCCTCCCAACCCCCCAAACCCCTCCCCAGCCCCCCCAAATCCCCCTTTGCCCCTCACCGGCCGCCGTAGTCCCGGCCTCCCCCGTAGCCCCCCGGGCGCCCCTCGTAGCGGCCGCCGTAGCCTCGGTCGCCTCCTCCTGCAAAAACCCCAAATTTGGGAGAATTCAAGAAAAAAAAAACCCTGTTAAAAACTTTCCTTACACTATCCCAAATTCCTCCTGAATCCTCAAAACCTTGAGTTTTTTTAAGCTTCTTCTCCCTCCAAAATCCCCAAATCTCCCCCAAAATCTCCCTCTGACCCCCACCCCAAATCCTCCCAGCACCATAAACCCTGCTAAGAGCCCCTAAATCCTTACCCCAAAACCCAAATCACCCCAAAATCCAAATCACCCCAAAAAAGCTCCAGAACCCCCTCCCCAAATCCTCAAAGACCCCAAAATCCCCCTGAAAGAGCCCCAAAAATTCCCATGCCATGAACCCCCAAGACCCCAAACCCCAAACACCCCAAGGCCCCTAAACCCCCCCAAACAACCAAAACCCCCTCCCCAACCCCCAACAGAGCCCCTGAAACCCCTCCCCAAACCCCAAAGGCCCCACCCAAAACCCCCAAACCCCAAAGACACTGGACCCCAAACCCCCTCTCCAAACCCCAAAAGACCCCAAACCCCCTCTCCACACCCCATAAATCCCCCAAAATGGTCCCAAATCCCCTAAACCCCTTCCCCACCCCATAAACCCCCCCAAAATGGTCCCAAACCCCCCAAAACCCCCTCCCCACCCCATAGACCCCCCAAAACAATCCCAAATCCCCCAAACCCCCTCCTCACCCCATAAACCCCCAAAAGGACCCCAAATCCCCCCAATCCCCCTCCCTACCCCAAAAACCCCACAAAAGGACCCCAAATCCCCCTCCCCACCCCATAAACCCCCCAAAAGGACCCCAACTCCCCCAATCCCCCTCCCTACCCCATAAATCCCCCAAAAGGACCCCAAATCCCCCCAATCCCCCTCCCTACCCCAAAAACCCCACAAAAGGACCCCAAATCCCCCAAACCCCTTCCCCACCCATTAAACCCCCCAAAAGGACCCCAAATCCCCCAAACCCCCAAACCCCCACCCCAAAACCCCCCAAAATGGTCCCAAATCCCCTAAACCCCCTCCCCACCCCATCAATCCCCCCAAAAGGACCCCAAACCCCCCAAACCCCCTCTCACCTCGCCCGTAGCCCCTGGCCCGGCCCCGGTTGCCCCCGAAGCCCCCCCGGGACCCCCGGGGCGATTTCCCGGCGTGATCCACCCGGATCTGCCGCCCCGTCCAGGCACTGCGGGGACAGAGGGGACAGTTCAGGACATTTGGGGACACTTTGAGACATTTGGGGACACTTTGGGGTCACCTCGGTCCCCCCTGGGCTCCCCCAGCCCCCTGTGAGTGCCCCCAAGCCGTTCCTCAGTTCTGCCCCCCAACCCCCCCTGGGGACCCCAAATGTCCCCCCCCCCCCAAGGGACCCCAAACAGGCCTGGGGACCCCAAAGCCCCCCAGGTGTCTCCAAAGCCTTTCAGGTGTGCCCAGGTGTCCCCAAAGCCCTTCGGGTGTGCCCAGGTGTCCCCAAATGCCCCCCAGGTGTGCCCAGGTGCCTCCAGGTGTCCCCAGCTGTGCCCAGGTGCCCCCAGGTCCCTCCCAGGTCCCTCCCAGGTGTGTCCCCAGGTGTGTCCCCAGATGCCCCCACCCCCCCTTCATGGCCTGCATGGCATCACTGGTGTGCCCAGGTGTACCCAGGTGTGCCCAGGTGTCCCCAAATACCCCCCAGGTGTGGCCAGGTGCCCCCAGGTGTCCCCAGCTGTGTCCAGGTCCCTCCCAGGTGTCCCCAGGTGTGCCCCAGGTGCCCCCAGCTCCCCATTCATGGCCTGCATGGCATCACTGGCATGCCCAGGTGTGCCCAGGTGCCCCAGGTGTACCCAGGTGTACCCAGGTGCCCCAGCTGTGCCCAGCTGTGCCCTCACCTCCCCATTCATGGCCTCCATGGCATCACTGGCATGCCCAGGTGTACCCAGGTGCCCCAGCTGTACCCACGTGCCCCAGGTGTGCCCAGGTGTACCCAGGTGCCCCAGATGTGCCCAGCTGTGCCCTCACCTCCCCGTTCATGGCCTGCATGGCGTCGCTGGCGTGCTCGGGGTTGCTGAAGGTGACGAAGCCGAAGCCCCGCGAGCGCTGGGTCTCCCTGTCCTTCACCACCACCACTGCGGGACAGGGGGGCAAAACAACCTCAGAACAGCCCAGAAATGGCGCAAAAATAAACCCAGAATGGCCCCAAAACAGCCCAAAAAATAACCCCATAACAGCCCCAAACAGGCCCCAAAATATCCCCAGAATGGCCCCAAAGGGAACCCTAAAATATCCCCAAAATAGCCCTAAAAACAACCCCATAACAGCCCAAAAATAGCCCCAAAGCAGCCCCAGAACAGCCCAAAAAATAACCCCAGAACAGCCCCAGAACAGGTCCCAAAATATCCCCAAACAGCCCCAAAACCAACCCCAATATGGCCCCAAAGCAGCCCCAGAACAGCCCAAAAAACATCCCCAGAACGGCCCCAAAGTAACCCCAAAATATCCCCAGAACAGCCCCAAACAGGCCCCAAAATATCCCCAGAATAGTCCCAAAGGGAACCCCAAAATATCCCCAAAACAGCCCCAAAACCAACCCCAAAACAGCCCAAAAACGGCCTCAAAGCAGCCCCAGAACAGCCAAAAAAACATCCCTAAAACAGCCCAAAAAGTAACCCCAGAACAGCCCCAAACAGGTCTCAAAATATCCCCAGAACGGCCCCAAAGGGAACCCCAAAATATCCCCAAACAGCCCCAAAACCAACCCCAAAATATCCCCAAAACAGCCCCAAAACCAACCACAAAACATCTCCAAAAATGGCCTCAAAGCAGCCCCAGAACAGCCCAAAAAACATCCCCAAAAAACCCAAAAAGTAACCCCAAAACAGCCCCAAACAGGCCCCAAAATATTCCCAGAATGGCCCCAAAGGGAACCCCAAAATAAACCCAAAATAGCCCCCAAAACAGCCCAAAAATGCCCTCAAAGCAGCCCCAGAACAGCCCAAAAAACATCCCCAAAACAGCCCCAAAGTAACCCCAAAAACGGCCCAAAAATAACCCCTAAACAGCCAAAAAATGACCACAAAGCAGCCCCAAAATTTCCCCAAAATATCCCCAAACTAGCCCCAAAAATATCTCAAAAGAAACCCAGAACATCCCCAAAACAGCCCCAAACTATCCCCAAAGGCAACCCCAAAATATCCCCAAAACATCCCTAAAGAATCCCCAAAAACAACCCCAAAACAGCCCAAAAATGGCCCCAAAGCAGCCCCAAAACAGCCCAAAAAACATCCCCAAAAAACCCAAAAAGTAACCCCAGAACAGCCCCAAACAGGCACAAAAATATCCCCAGAATGGCCCCTAAGGGAACCCCAAAATATCCCAAAAATAGCCCCCAAAACAGCCTAAAAATGGCCTCTAAGCAGCCCCAGAACAGCCCCCAAAATATCCCCAGAACGGCCCCCAAGAGAACCCCAAAAAATCCCCAGAATAGTCCCAAAACCAACCCCAAAACAGCCCAAAAATGGCCTCAAAGCATCCCCAGAACAACCCAAAAAACATCCCCAAAACAGCCCCAAAGTAACCCCAAAAACGTCCCAAAAATAACCCCTAAACAGCCCAAAAATGACCACAAAGCAGCCCCAAAATTTCCCCAAAATATCCCCAAAGGGAGCCCCAAAACAGCCCAAAAATGGCCCCAAAGCAGCCCCAGAACAGCCCAAAAAACATCCCTAAAACAGGCCCAAAGTAACCCCAGATCAGCCCCATAACAGCCCCAAAGAGGCCCCAAAATATCCCCAGAATGGCCCCAAAGAGAACCCCAAAATATCCCCAAAACAGCCCCAAAACCAACCCCATAACAGCCCAAAAATGGCCTCAAAGCATCCCCAGAACAGCCCAAAAAACATCCCCAAAACAGCCCCAAAGTAACCCCAAAACCAGCCTGAACATAACCCCAAAACAGCCCAAAAAATGACCCCAGAACAGCCCCAGAATTTCCCCAAACCAGCCCCAAAATATCTCAAAAGAAACCAGAACACCCCCAAAACAGCCCCAAACACTCCCCAAAGGCACCCCAAAATATCCCCCAAACAACCCCAAAAGGAGCCCCAAAACAGCCCCAAAACCAACCCCAAAACAGCCCAAAAATGGCCTCAAAGCATCCCCAGAACAACCCAAAAAACATCACCAAAACAGCCCCAAACAGGCCCCAAACAGGCCCCAAAATAATCCCAGAACAGCCCCCAAGTAACCCCAAAATAGCCCCAAAATCAACCCCAAAACGGCCCCAAAGCAGCCCCAGAACAGCCCAAAAAACATCCCCAAAAAAACCCAAAAAGTAACCCCAGAACAGCCCCAAACAAGCCCCAAAATATCCCCAAAATAGCCCCAAAACCAACCCCATAACAGCCCAAAAATGGCCTCAAAGCAGCCCCAGAACAGCCCAAAAAGTAACCCCAGAACAGCCCCAATCAGGCCCCAAAAAGTAACCCCAGAACAGCCCCAATCAGGCCCCAAAATATCCCCAGAATAGCCCCAAAACCAACCCCAAAATAAACCCAAAATAGCCCCCAAAACAACCCCAAAACAGCCCAAAAACGGCCCCAAAGTAGCCCTAGAACAGCCCAAAAAAAATCCCCAGAACAGCCCAAAAAGTAACCCCAAAAACGGCCCCAGAACAGCCCCAAACAGGTCCCAAAATATCCCCAAAACAGCCCCAAAACCAACCCCAAAATGGCCCCAAAGCAACCCCAGAACAGCCCAAAAAACATCCCCAAAAAAACCCAAAAAGTAACCCCAGAACAGCCCCAAACAGGCCCCAAAATATCCCCAGAATAGCCCCAAAACCAACCCCAAAATAAACCCAAAATAGCCCCCAAAACAACCCCAAAACAGCCCAAAAACGGCCCCAAAGTAACCCCAAAATATCCCCAGAATATCCCCAAAATAGCCCCCAAAACAGCCCAAAAATGGCCTCAAAGCATCCCCAGAAAACCCAAAAAACATCCCCTAAACAGCCCCAGAACAGCCCCAAAGTAACCCCAAAATATCCCCAAAACAGCCCCAAAACCAACCCCAAAACAGCCCAAAAATGGCCCCAAAACAGCCCCAGAACAGCCCCAAAAAACATCCCCAAAACAGCCCCAAAATAACCCCAAAAACGGCCCAAAAATGACCCCAGAACATCCTCAGAACAGCCCCAAAATGGCCCCAAAACAGCCCCAAAATTTCCCCAAAATATCCCAAAAACAGCCCCAAAAATATTTAAAGAAAAACCCAAAGAATCCCCAAAACAGCCCCAAACACTCCCCAAAGACCACCCCAAAATAAACCCCAAAATGAGCCCCAAAACAGCCCAAAAGGAGCCCCAAAACCAACCCCTAAATGACCCCAAAACAGCCCAAAAATGCCCCAAAACAGCCCCAAAATGCCCCAAAACAGCCCCAAAATGGCCCCAAAAGAAACCCCAAAATATCCCCAAAATATCCCCAAAACAGCCCCAAAATGGCCCAAAAATGGCCCCAAAGCAGCCCCAGAACAGCTGGGCCCCAAAACATCCAGAAAATTCTCCAAAATATCCCAAAATACCCCCAAAACATCCAGAAAATATCCCAAAATATCCCAAAATACCCCCAAAATATCCCTAAAGGGAACCCAAAAAAAATCCCTAAACAAACCCCAAAAGATCCCAAAGGAAACCCCCAAACATCTCCAGGTGGTTTTGGGAAACTTTGGGGTATTTTTTGATAAATTCTGGATAATTTTGGATGTTTTGGGATATTTTGGGGTAATTTTGGGATATTTTGGGGGGGTTTCTTTTATATTTTGGGGGTATTTTGGGATATTTTGAGTCATTTTTTTATATTTTGGGGATTTCTTAAAATATTTTGGGGGCATTTTGGGGCATTTTGGGGATATTTTAGGGTACTTTGGGATATTATGGGATACTTTAAGGCGATTTTAGGATTATTTTAGGATTATTTTGTGATATTTTTGGATATTTTAAGGATATTTTAGGATTATTTTGGGATGGTTTTGTCTCTCACCCTGGGTAATGGGCCTGAAGGAGCTGAAGCTCCAGGGTGATTCTGGGATACTTTGGGATCATTTTGGGATATTTTAGGATATTTTAGGATTATTTTGTGATATTTTGGGATATTTTAGGATTTTTTTAGGATATTTTAGGCTACATTAAGGATTATTATGGGATGTTTTGGGGGTGTTTTAGTGCCTTGCCCTCAGAAATGGGCCTGAAGGAGCTGAAGCTCCAGGGTGATTCTGGGATACTTTGGGATCATTTTAGGATATTTTAAGCATATTTTACAATTATTTTGTGATATTTTGTGATATTTTAGGATTATTTTAGGATATTTTAGGCTACATTAAGGATTATTATGGGGTGTTTTGGGGGTGTTTTTGCCTCTCACCCTTGGAGATGGGCCCGAAGGAGCTGAAGCTCCAGGGTGATTCTGGGATACTTTGGGATCATTTTGGGATATTTTAAGGATGTTTTAGGATTATTTTGGAATATTTTGTGATATTTTAGGATTTTTTTAGGATATTTTAGGATACATTAAGGATTATTATGGGGTGTTTTGGGGGTGTTTTTGTCTCTCACCCTCAGAGATAGGCCCGAAGGAGCTGAAGCTCCAGGGTGATTCTGGGATACTTTGGGATCATTTTGGGATAGTTTAAGGATGTTTTAGGATTATTTTGTGATATTTGGGGATATTTTAGGATCATTTTAGGATACATTAAGGATTATTATGGGATGTTTTAGTGTCTCACCCTCAGAGATGGGCCCGAAGGAGCTGAAGTGCTGCTCCAGGCCCTGCTCGTCCGTGTCGTAGTTGAGGCCCCCCACGAACAACTTCCCCTCCTCCGCCGCCATGCGTGGGGGGGCGGGGGCGGCCGTGACGTCATAAGGTGGGGGCCCTGCCCCTGCGGTGACGTAATAACCTGGGCCAGGGAGCGGTGCTGACGTCACAACTCCAGCAATTAATCCTCCCCGTGACGTCGCAATGCTCACTCACCCACCCCCCAAGCCGCGCTTGATGACGTCACGCCACCCGCCCTCCCTCTATGATATCACCGCTGCCTCCCGTGACGTCACACCCCCTAAGCGACCCCCCCCCCCCGTGACGCCATCAGCCACACGCGTCCCTTCACGCTGACGTCCCGCAGCGTCCCCCGTGACGTCACGGGTGGCCCCGCGTGGTTCCCTCCCCTCCAGCCCCCCCCAACCCGGCCACGTGTTCGCCCCCCCGGAAGTGCCGCTCCCGCCGCCCGCGCGCGCATGCGCAGGAGCCGCGCGGCCCTCAGAGCGCCGAGGCGGGAAAAGAAGAGAAAAAGGAGGAGGGGGGGAAGGCAAAAAAGCGGCCAGAGAGCGGCCAAAGCCGCGATTATCGCGACAGAAGGAGGGGGAGAAGCGGGAAAAAGTCGCGATAGGAGCGGCCGAGCCTCACCCGAGCGGCTCCGGACGGGCCCGGACTGAGGCCGCGGCCGCCCCGCCCCGCCGATTTTAAGCAGCTCCGCCCCTCACGTGACCGTAGCACCGCCACGCCATTGGCTGCCTGCTCAGGCCCCGCCCCTTGGGCGCGTGGACGAGACCATTGGGTCGGGGGGAGAGGAGGGGAGGGTGGGGATGGCGGCACGCCTGAGGGGGAGGGGGGTGGCCGGGGCTGTTTGGGGGTCCCGAGGGGGTCCTGGGGGGGGGTGGGGTCCCCAGGGGTGTTTCGGGTCCGCGGGGGGGGCTCGGGTTGGTGTTGGGGGTCCCGGTTTGGTTTTGGGGTCACAGACGCTGACGTCGCTCCCGGGGAGGTTTTAATGGTCCGGTCCCGTTACAGCCGAAACGCCGCGGCCCCGCCCCTTCCCCCCCTCCCCAGTGACGTCATAGAGGGGGTGGGGCTTAACCCAGCCCCCCCCCGCAGGCTCCGTGCCCCTTCCCCCCCTTCCCCTCCCCCCATCGCGGTCCGGGGCTCCCCCCGCCCCTCCCCCCCTTCCCATGGAGGAGGCGGGGCCACAGAGACCCCGCCCACTACAGAGCGAGGCCCCGCCCCCACGGGGGAGGGGCGGTCCTGAGTGAGGCTGGGGGAGGGGGAGGAGCCTCAGAGTAAAACCAGAGTGAGGTGGGGGTAACCCTGGAGTAAAGTGAGGGTAACAGTGGAGTAACCCCAGAGCAAACCACCACCATGGAGTAAAGTGAGAGTAACCTCGGAGTAAAACTCCACCTCGGAGTAACCCCAAAGTAATGTGGAAGTAACCCCGGAGAACCCAGTGAGGGGAGAGGTGTCCCTTGTGTGTGGGCTGGGAGTAACCCCGGAGTAAACTGTGAGTAACGTCCGTTCAAGGGCTGTGTAACTTCCGAGTGAAGACTGGGCAGCTTCTGAGTAACCTCTGAGTAATGTCTGTGAAGAGGGCCGAGCAACCTCTGAGTAAAGGCTGAGCAATGTCCGTTCAAGGGCTGATTAAGCTCTGAGTAAAGGCTGAGGAAGCTCCGAGCAGGGGGCTGAGCGAGCGCGGGAAGCGCTGAGTAAGGGCGGAGTAAGCACAGAGCAAAGGCAAAGAGGATCCAAGCACCCGGAGTAAGGTGTGAGTAAGGTGTGAGTAGCACAAAAGGAGCCAAAACAACCCAGAAAGGGGGAGCTGAGCAAGGCCAGAGTGAGGAAGGAGCTGAGTAAGTTCTGTCTGCAAGTCCCTCAAAGGCTGAGTAAACTCAGAGTAAACTCAGAGTAAGGATCTCCTGGAGCAGCCTGGAGTAAGAGCAGAGTAAAGGCCCCGCCCTGGCCGTGAGTAACTCTGGAGTAAAGTCTGAGTCGGGATCGAGTCCGGAGCAACCTCAACAGAAGAGTGGAGGAGGCTCTGAGTAAGAACCTGGAGTAACTCAGGAATAACAGAGAGCAGGAGCGAGAGGAGGCTGAGTAAGCCTGGAGTAAGGCTGGAGTAGGGCAGGGGTGGCCCAGAGCTGGGCCTGAGCTGCCTTGGAGTAAAGTCTGAGTAACCACAGAGTAAAGAGGGCCCAATCTTGGAGTAAAGTCTGAATAATCCTGGAGTAACCACGGAGTGAAGTGGGCCTGCCATTGGATTAAAGTCTGAGTAATCCTGGTGTAAGCGTGGTGTAAAGTGGGTCCAGCCTTGGAGTAAAGTCTGAATAACCTTGGAGTAAACTTGGAGCAACCCTGGAGTGAAATGGGCCCAATCTTGGAGTAAAGTCTGAGTAATCCTGGAGTAACCCCAGAGTAACCCTGGAGTGAAAAGGGCCCAACCCCGAGTAACCCTGGAGTAAAGCACGAGTGACCTCCGAGTAAGCTCCCCTCCCCCACTCCTCAAACGGCCCCGCCCCTTTTTTGGCCCCTCCCCTTTAGGCCCCGCCCTCTCAGGCCCCGCCCCGGGGGGGAGGGGCCGATATAGACTCTGATTTATAATATTGCCTTGAAAAAATAAAACTCGACGTAAATTGGGGGGGGGAAAAACCCCCCAAAAATGGGGGGGACCCCAAAAAATGGGGAGGGGGGACCCCAAAAAAAATGGGGGGGGACCCCAAATCTCCCCCCCAGACCCCCCCACAATGGGGGTCCCAGTGAAACCCCCCCCCCCAAAATCCAGCAGCAGTTCCTTGGGGGTGGGGGGGGGGGGTTTAGGGGATTTTTGGGGGGGGGTCAGCAGTCCAAGGACCCCCCCCCCTCCCCCACGAGGAGTTTTGGGGTGACCCCAAAGTCCTGGAGGTTTTTTTTGGGGGGGACCCCAGCCCCGAATCTGGGGGGTCCTGGGCGGGGGGCGCAGCAGCGATCCGGGGGCTGTGGGGAGAGGAAGGAGTTAAAAAATGACCCCAAAAAGATGAAAATTCCCCCCCAAAATTTATCCCTCCCTTTTTAGGGACCCCTCCCCGAAATTTTTGGGGGGTGGGGGGGGTCAGAACCCCAAATTTCAAATGGGGGCGGCTCCGGTTTTGGGCGGTTCCAATTCCAAGGTGGGGGGGGGCTCCTGAATTTTTATCGTTTTTGGGATTTTTGGGGGGGTGGGCTCATTTTTGGGGGGGGGGTTTGGGGGTCATTCCCCAATGATGCCCCTCCCAAATTTTGGGATCCCAGATTTTTGGGGGCTTATCCTAAATTTTGAGATTCTGGGAGGGCTGATCCCAAATTTTGAGATTTTGGGGGGCTGATCCCAGATTTTGGGGGCCTGATTTCAGATTTTGGGGATTTTGGGGGGGCTGATCCCAGGTTTTGGGATTTTGGGCGATCTCACCCCAGATTTTGGGGATTTTGGGGGAGCTGACCCCAGATTTTCGGATTTTGGGGGAGCTGACCCCAGATTTTGTGGGGCTGATCCCACATTTTCGGGGTTTTGGGGGGCTGATCCCAGATTTTGTGGGGCTGATCCCAGATTTAGGGGATTTTGGGGAGCTGACCCCGGATTTTGGGGATTTTGGGGGGCTGATCCCAGATTTTGGGGGAGCTGATCCCAGATTTTGCGGGGCTGATCCCAGATTTTGGGGATTTTGAGGGAGCTGATCCCAGATTTAGGGGATTTTAGGGAGCTGACCCCGGATTTTGGGGATTTTGGGGAGCTGGTCCCAGATTTTGGGGATTTTGGGGGGCCTCACCTGCTCAACATCAGAACTCGGTGTCGAGCACCCGGAAGGCGGAAGAACCTGTAGGGAAAAAAAGGGGTCAGGAAACGCCCCAAAAACCCCAAAATCACCTCAGAAAAACCCCAAAATCACCTGAAAAAAAACCCAAAATCACCTGGAAAAAAAATCCCAAAACTACCTCAAAAATAACCCCCAAACCACCTCAAAACTACCCCATAAACACCGCCAAAAAAAACCCAAACCACCTCAAAAAAAACCCCAAAATCATCTCAAAAAAAAACCCCAAACCACCTTAAATCTATCCCATAAACACCCCCCAAGAAAAACCAGAATCACCTCAAAAACACCCCAAAACCACCTCAAAAATAACCCAAAACCACCCCAAAATTAACCCCCCAAGAAAGCCCAAAACACCCCAAAAATCCCCCAAAATGACCCCAAAAACACCCCAAGGAAAAGGGTGTGGGGGGCAGGGGGGTTTTGGGGTTCAGGATTTTTGGGGTTTAGGGTTTTTAGGGTTCAGGGTTTTTGGGGTTCGGGTTTTTGGGGTTTAGCGTTTTTTGGGTCCCACCTGTGGGGGGCAGGGGGTTTTTGGGGTTCAGGATTTTGGGGTTTGGGGGTTTTGGGGTTCAGAGTTTTTGGAGTTCAGGTTTCTGGGGTCCCACCTGTGGGGGGCAGGGGGGTTTTGGAGTTCAGGTTTTTGGGGTTCAGGGTTTTTGGAGTTCAGGGTCTTGGGGTTTTTGGGGTATTTGGGGTTCAGGTGTTTTTGGGGTTCAGGGGTTTTTGGGGTTCGGGGGTTTTTGGGGTTCAGGGTTTTGGGGTTCAGAGTTTTTGGGGTTCAGGGTATTTGAAGTTCAGGGGTTTTGGGGTTCAGGTTTTTGGAGTTCAGGGTTTTGGGGTTTTTGGGGTATTTGGGGTTCAGGGTTTTTGGGGGTTTTGAGGTATTTGAGGTTCAGGATTTTGGAGTTCAGGTTTTTAGGGTTCAGGATTTTGGGGTTTAGCGTTTTTGGGGTTCAGGGTTTAGGAGTTCAGGTGTTTTTGGGGTCCCACCTGTGGGGTTCAGGTGTGTTTGGGGTTCAGGTGGATTTGGGGGTTCAGGTTTTTGGAGTTCAGGGTTTTAGGAGGTCAGGATTTTGGGGTTCAGGTTTTTGGAGGTTTAGGTTTTTTAGGGTTCAGGTTTTTGGGGTTCAGAGTTTTTGGAGGTTCAGGTTTTGAGTTTGGGGGGTTTTTGGGGTTCAGGGCTTCTGGGGTTTAGGGTTTTTGGAGTTCAGGGTTTTGGCGTTCAGCATTTTTGGGGTCCCACCTGTGGGGGGCAGGGGGTTTTTGGGGTTCAGGTTTTTGGGGTTCAGGTTTTTGGGCTCAGGGTTTTTAGGGTTCAGGTTTTTGGGGTTTTTGGGGTTCAGGGTTCTTGGGGTTTAGGGTTTTTAGGGTTGATGTTTTTGAAGTTCGGGGTTTTTGGGGCTCAGGATTTTGGGGTTTTTGGGGTTCAGGGTTTTTGGGGTCCCACCTGTGGGGGGCAGGGGCCCCGTGCGCAGCCCCGGCTCCTTCTGCAGCTGAATCTCCTTCAGCGCAAAGATGGACGTGGCTGGAGGGGGCGGGGAAACCCCAAATCAAGGGGTGTGGCCAGCCCAAGCCACACCCCCAAGAACCACACCCTTGATTTGCATAGCCCCACCCACCAGTGATTAAGCCTCGCCCATTCAGCCACACCCACAGCACAGCTCCACCCATTGAAATGCCCCATGCAGATAAGCCCCACCCACTCTAAGCCCCACCCACTCTAAGCCACACCCACACAGCCCCACCCTCTCAATGCCCCACCCCCAAAAGCCCACCCATGTGAAGCCCCACCCCCAATGACAACACCCATTAAGCCCCACCCCCACTGCACCCCACCCTTCCAATGCCACACCCATGTGAAGCCCCGCCCCAGTATCCAACCCATGCAAAGCCCCGCCCAGTGCCACACC